TCTGAGTGTAGTGTGACGGAACAACCTAAGACAAAACAGCAGACCTGAATCCTTTAAGATTTCAATAACTTCAAACAAGAGAAAAGTCAGAAAACTATTACAGGAACTAGTTGTCGACTTGTCGATACTCATAGGCCAGGGAAGTCTAGTGATATATGGAGTATATGATGTTGTTCCTAAAAGCGTTAGTGGTCATTTGGCACTGGAATTGCAATATTTAGCTTCCAAGCCTATAAAAATGAGCCTTTTAATGGGATTAATTCCAAACAGTTTAACACAGACATTCTTAACATCCTTCATATATGTTGAGGACTGTGCTACACCGCTACTTGCACCCAATTCTTGATTGTGGATTTCTGGAATAGATTTTCTTGATTAACTTGTTGAATAGTTATGACACTTAACCTAGCATGTGAAATTGCAGATAATTATGACTACATAATATCCTATTTTTTCAAATTGTGAGGTCAGAACTGGTAGAGAGATCGTGCCATCATCTAGTTGAATTATGAGGAAGAGCAATATCACCCTAATGAGCAACCATCATAAAAATTAAGCCAACGTTTTCTAATATGGAGAATGGGCAAATCCCCAACAATTAATAGGCAATCATTGAACATCGTGATTTTTTATTCAGAACTGTCCTCTCTAGTCAAGATTATTAAGAAAACATTTTGCGTATTTGCAAAATGTAAATTCAATTTTCTTCATGCAGAACAACATAAGAACGGGGCGCAATAAATTGATTGTTACATATGAGAGCAATTCCGTAAGCTTCTCGAAGCATGTTTCTTGGCCGGGGTAAGGAACACCCTCTAATGGCAGAGGAGTGACAGAGAACGAGTCGGGAGCGCAAATTTCGAGCCTTGCCCGGAATCTTTCGAGAGGGGGAGACGACGACTCGGGCTTCGGAAGCGGGTTGGAAGCAGAAGCTGGATCGGGCTTGTACAAAATGACATTAGATGGAGTGGATTTGGACGAACGTTTTGGACATTTCAGAAGCTTCCAAGCTTCTACATTGGTTTTGCGCTTTGCCAAAGCTGATAGCCGGTTTGCTTCTGCCCGTTTTCTCTGCTCCTCCGTGATTTCCTCTGCATTTTCGATTTCCATTTTGTTTGGCAGAAACAGAGAATTACAGAGAGAGGGAACTGTAGCACAACAGATTTTGTAAGTTGTCCGGCGGGGAGGCAGAGAGTATCTAAAAAATTACCACGTACTATGTTCTGAAAATCAATATAGCTGAAAGCCTGAAATCGTGATCAGATTGGGAATAATTTGAATTGAACATCAATTGATTTTCTTGGTTATTCTATTACTCTATATAAATTGAGATAATTTAATAGCCCGTTTGGTAACATTAAAATTGGCTGAATTGACTAATTCTGCTGAAATTTATGAAATTCTCGCTGAAGTGGCTGTATTGGCTGATTATGCTGATTCATGAAAAAAATTATATTTAAAATATTTTTTATTAATAAATTAAATAAAAAATTATACGAAAAAATAGCTAAAATGATTCTCTACAGTAACTTCAGCCAATACAGCCAGAAAATTAACTTCAACCTTAATTTTTCTGCTTATTACAAAATTCAGCGCGCGAAATCAAAAGTTACGTGCTTGGTGATCGAAAAACTGACTGATAAACCTGATAAGTCGAAAAAGGGGGCCACCAAACGAGCTCTAAATTTTTTGGAGTACATATCTATGTAATTCTCATTTCTTTTGATTTAGTGTTGACTCAATATTGTTTATTACGATTACAAAATCATCTTTATTTATCTCTTACTAGCCTTTTTAATATCTTTTGATTTTTTTTTAATTATTTGTAAACTAGTTTTCAAGCCCGTGCGATGCACGGGTAGTACATAATTTTGATAATTATAAAATTGAATTTTTCGATAATACTAAAATTAGTTGAATCGTCTGATTCTAATGTAATGAATTAAATCTAACTGATTAGACTGAATTGACGGAATCTCCCGAATTATGAAAAAATAAAATAAAAATTACTACATATATCATTAATAAAATAAAATAAAAATCATATGATTTTTTTTAAACTGGACTTCTACATAAGCATCCCAGCTAATTAAACATAATGGTTATGAACCCGGTTTTAAAAAATTCACACAAAAGTTTCTGAATTTATCTCACATACTTTAAATTACTTTATTAAGCATCTCAAAACACTATTTTTTAATATTTATCATTCAACATGGTATGAATTGAAATAAGTATTTTTAAATTTTAACATTTTAGTCATTATTTCGTCATATTGAAAATATAAAAAAGGGATCATTACTCAATGTAAAAAAGTTATTCTACCAAAATAAAATACTAATCTTTAGTATTATCAAACGACTTTATATTAGACTGAGTATAAAATAACTTTGAATAAAAATATTAATAGGAATGTGGTTGGTTTATCTGTTAGGTGGACAAAATAATTAAATAAGGTGGATTATATCTCTTTTGTTTCCGAATGGCTATTAATACGTAGTATAAAATATCCAATATTAATAGCCCATTATTAATAAGTATTACGGAGTATATTAATATCCAATAAAATACATAGTATCCAATATTCTCAAAAAGTACTATCCAAATTAATAAGTACTCCGTAATAAGTTCTCAAAAAGTTACCAAATAAGTTGGATTCTATATCTTTTGTTTCCATATTAATATGCAATAAAAAAAAGAATGTAATAAAAATAAAAGGTATAAAATGTTATTTAAATACTACATAATTATATATGATGACATGGCAGGATTATGTGGCATACCGTATGCTCTTAAAAAGTTCCTCTTATATATATATATATATATATATTGATTTGTTGCCCGAGCTACATCATTCCTTTGCGCGCATTTAGAGTTTAGACAATTACATATTGCGCTCACCCACACTATTAAAATTAATCATACATTCATACGGACAACTAAAGTTAATTATAATTAAAATTAATTATACACAAAACTATTGATCAAGTCGGGTCAGTCATGAGGGATGGGCAAGGATCCACTACTCCCAAAAAAGCCTATAAATTTCTCAGTTGTGTATATGTATATATATTAATTATATACTCTTTATAAGTTAAATATCTTTAAAAATTTTAAAATCAAATCAAATTTATAAATGGCACATACATCTAAAGCATGTACGCTACTACCCCTACCTTCACAAAACCTGCCACAGGTTGGGTTTAACGTACAGAGTGAATATTGAGGTGTCCCATTATTGTCTCTCAAATGTCATCTCACCCCACTATCAAGCTAATGTCCCATCAGAAGAAGAAGCCCCCATTCCCCCAAGCATGGGCGGAGCTAGGAGTGGGCCAACCTAGGCCATGGTTCACCCCAAATTTTAAAAATGACTTAATTTTTAAGGTAAAAAAATTCGTGTAAATTTTTTTCTAAAAATATTCTTTGTGCCGGCCCAGTGCCCTGGCTCCGCCCCTGGCCCCAAGACATACCTGATCCTCCACAAAATTGCCTGCAACCCGACTACTTTCAACAAATCATGCGGGGGCAACAAGTCGTCCTTGTCGGGTTCAACGCATTCAACCTTAACTACACAACAATGGATGGGCACATCAACCACCTCCGAGAGGATGTTGGCCATTTGCGGGAAGAACAAAGGATGGAATTCCTAAGGATGGAGGAGCAACATCAAGTCGATTGTCGTCAGATAGAAGAAACATAGGGCATATGGCCTTGTGTATGCTTATTTTGATCAACACGGTTTCTTCTCATCCATGACCACTGCCCCACCACCTCACTCTTGGTATGATCTCACTCAATAGGACAACTTTGGTGGTTCGAGCTCCGAAGGTGGCAATGGAGGCATGGGGTGGCAGGTACGATGGTGGTTACCAAAGCGAAGATGATGGCAGGGACTAGAGATAGTACCTCAAACTAGGTAGGGGGGGACTACTCATTTGTATGTACAATTTCCTTTTCTACCTTGCACTATTTTGTATTTGTAACTTGCACTATTTTAAATATTATTAAGTTCAAAACAATCTTGAAGCCCCCCTTGTTACAATTTCATAAAAGAAAGATATTTATTTCTCTCTGGATACAATCCTTACTACAATGTACTATGTATTAGTGCAAGTATTGATATTATTTTGAGGCATACAACGACTTTAGTGTCGTCAGCCAACTATTAATATTGGGGTGGGGCCCAAGGAGTACCCAAGTTTTGTAAGGAGGGAGGACTCACATGCGGTAAAATGTGAAATTACACTTCACACGCGTGCCGGTGCTGCCGTCCGGGGCATCCAGCTAGGTTGGGTTTTGGGTACCGGGTGCGTATGGTACGCACAAAAATGTACCAACATCTTCAGCTATAAAATCGCACAACCCCTCCCACAAATCTTTTCATTACATGCTCTCATAAACAAACAAGATGAACATATCCATGTGAGTTGATCAGTCCCATCCGAATAGGGATCAGAATACGGCGACTATCTTTCATCAAGGTGTGTCTTTTTTTAATTTACGGGCGATCCTGCAATAAGTTTTTCTTTACTTTCTGATTATTTATTTTTAACCTATTATAATTATTATTATTATTATATTATTATTATTATTATCATTATTTTCATGCATTTGGCGGTTTCTCTGGTGATTTGTTTAAACTCGAGATCTTTATCTGGTTAAACTTGCATGCTAATGTCAGTTTTCTACTAACACACCAGAAATCTTACGCAATATTGAAGGCTTTTTATAAGCCAGCTATTGCTATTGTGATGGGGCCCAATGGGTGCCCAAGCTTTGTAAGGAGTGAAGACCCGCATGCGGTAAAGCGTGAAATCACACTTCACACATGTTCCGGCGCTGCTGTCCGAGGCGTCCGACCGGGTTGGGTTTCGAGTACAGGGTGCGTACGGTACGCACCCACGTGTACGTCTTAATGAAGGGTTGCCGATGCTGCAGTCCAGCATCTTCAACTATAAAATCCCACAACCCCTCCCACAAATTTTTTCATTCCTTGCTCTGATCTCATAAACAAACTAGAATAGCATATCCCCACTTTCTCATCACTTTGAGACACTTAAATTAGCTACAGCTTACTAATTTACCATGGTTTCCGAGAGGATAGTGTCCAAGAGTGTATGTGTTATTGGTGCCGGACCCTCAGGACTGGTGGCAGCGAGAGAGCTAAAAAAGGAAGGGCACAATGTGTTGGTTTTTGAACAATGTCATGATATTGGAGGGCAATGGCTGTACAATGCTCAAGTTGAAGGGGAAGATCCCTTAGGAAGGTCTAGATTCTTGAAGGTCCATAGTAGCATTTATGCATCGCTAAGGCTCATATCTCCAAGAGAAATTATGGGGTTTTCTGACTTCCCTTTCTTGACCAAAAAGGGGAGAGATCAAAGGAGATTTCCAGGCCATGAGGAGCTCCTCGCTTATTTAGGTGATTTTTGTGAGTTTTTCAAGGTGAGAGAGATGATAAGGTTCAACACTAGGGTCGAGTACGTTGGGATGATGAATGATGATAACGGGCTCGGGGGCGACATGAGGTGGACTGTGAAGAGCAAAGAGAAGAAGGGTGGTGATGAGAAGGTTGTGGAAGAAGTCTTTGATGCTGTGGTGGTGGCTTCTGGTCATTATTCCCAGCCCAGGCTGCCTCGGATCAAAGGTTTCTGAATCTATCTGTTTCTTTTGTCTCTTCATTTACAAAGAAATTAATCATATAAATGGAGTCAGGGGAGGATCAAAAGTAGCCAAAATAGAAGACAGTATATCATATAGCAGTATTATCAAAAACATTTTCCAAGTTCATGCCATCTCAAACCAAAGAAGGAAATAACCAAATGCACACTCGGGTACTAATAATCCACATGTCTACTTATTTATTTATTTGTCCGTTTTGTATCAAAGGGATGAATGCGTGGAGAAGAAAGCAGATGCATAGCCATATTTACAGAATGCCAGAGCCGTATCGCAATGAGGTAACTGACAGATGCCTCCATACAACAATTATAGCATGTTTCACAATTTGTATACAAAATAACAAATCAAAGGCAGGGATAATGATAAGATCTGTAGGGTCGGGAATGTTTAGGGGAAGGATTTAGTGAATATGGATAGAAGCAGAGCAATCCCCAACACTCATACTCGATCTTCATGCATGCATGGGGATGGGGTAGTTTCATCCACATTCCTTCAAGTCTTTCCTTAATCATTTCCTAGCACTTACTGAGTAAGTGAGTAGTAATAATGTCGCCAAAAGTGAACTTCACTGTTCTTGGTTGTAATTACTTTTCTTCAAAAGCAAGCTTATCAATTTATTTATACATGACTTTAAAGCTCCGTACTATTTTCTATATGCTTCTTTAGAATACAATCAAGGAGATTACCCTGGCATGCTTTATTATATTGCATCATGCGGTACAGCGGTATGTGTTTTTTTAAAGCAAAAATGTTTGTAAATTTCAAAATATGTAGGATTACTGTATTTTTATTCCCTGAACTAAATAGTACTCCGTAGTAACTACATTATTTTTCAAACTTGGCAGTAATTACTCATATTTTAAGAATTAACACATACTCCCTCCGTCCCGTTAAGATTGTCCCATTTTATCTTTTCGGGAAGTCCTATTAAGATTGTCTCATACCAAATTTGGTAAAGATTGTGTGGCTCTAAACCATTCTTACTTTATTCTTACTTTATCAATTTAATATCAACCACACAAATCTACTTTTCTTAATAATCGTGCCACCTTCTTTCGTCCCAATCTTAGTGGGACGGAGGTAGTACTATATACTCTAGGAATTTTAGAACGGTTTTACTCTTATTTTGGGAATTTCCATATTTTTTACTCTTAAGAGAAGGGAAAATGTAACTTTGTTTTTGAAAAAGGGAAAAATAATTAAAATACCCCAAACTTTGAAAGGGTGTGAGGTAAGCACCCTGAACTTGCATATGTAATTTAATTACCCCAAACTTTATATAAAAGGTATTTTAGCACCATGGTCATGTATTATTTCTTTCGAAAATGTCAATTTTTTGTGTTAATTTCATAATATAACATATTTTAGCATTCATGAAGATACAATTAACATTCTAAACTTGCAGTGTAAAATAAATAATATCGCCCCACTCTATATAATTGTAGAGTTTTTAATTTGCTATTTTATATTATGCAATTAATACCATAAATTTACATTTTTGAAAAAAAATAGTACATGATCATGGTTCTAAAATAACTTTTTATATAAAGTTTGGGGTATTTAAATTACATAGGAAAGTTTGGGAGGTTATCTCACACTCCTTCAAAGTTTGAGGTATTTTAATTATTTTTCCCTTTGAAAAACTACTTAGTTCTTTTATATATTACTCCGTATAATAAGGTGAATGTTGTGGTTTCCTATGCAAGAATAAGAACTTTAAAAGCCGTATTAGAGATAAATAAAATGAGATAAAATGCCTAAACCACCCTCTCCTAGTACTGTATCCATACAAAAGGGACGAGTAAGGTATTAATAGTGCGCATGTAAGATCATTTTTCAAAAAATGAAACATAACCTTTTATGGGACAGCCCAACAATTAAATGTGTAACTATTTTCAGACAATGAAAGTATTTTATAATGATATATATGAAAAAGAAGGAATAAATGTCCCAAAAATTATAGAAGTTTGAGCATAATATTACTTTTTTCAAAGAATATATGACTTTTAAAAGTATAAAGAATTTAGTAACATAATAATGCATACTCATTTTTATTTCTACTTATTAAATTTTATAGGTAACAATGAAACATATTTGTATAAGTGATTCTTTATAATTTAATCGAACTATCTCACTGGGGAATTTAATCTAAAAAGAAGTTGCTTTTCCACATCTAGAATTCACCTTTTGCGTCCAGACTTCCTTTGGTGGTCAGCTCTCGAGTTGACCGCCTTTTTCACATTTTTCTTTGCGCATAGGGCCTCATCTTTCAATGCCTTTTAGAACATTCCGAATAAGTGAGGTTACCGTGTCGTACAAAAAATGACTGTGATTGTTGGTCCTAGTGACCATTTCACTATGTTTAAATTACTTAATAATGTTAATATACTAAATTGTCATGTCGGCAAAAGTATAATACCTTAACGTACTATAGAAGTTGTCCAATTTCAAAACAAATTTTACAATTCATCTACATTTTTTATGTTCTTTAGGTGGTTGTGGTAGTTGGGAGTTCACTGAGTGGGCAGGATATTTCCATGGAGCTTGTAAATGTAGCAAAGGAAGTTCATTTGAGCGCCAAGTATCCTCGTAACGTTCCGGAAGGCTTGTCAAAAGTCATCTCCAAACATGCTAACTTTCACATTCACCCTCAGGTTAATAGTGGGTGTATATACCCCCGTAATCCGTATTATATAGGATACTACATGCTAAGTTAAAATTGCTTCTGAATATGGAAGATAATGTCACTTTCCTGATAAATTTTTGGAGTTGATATATGTACTCTAATGGAAAGTGCAGATAGAGTCATTGCAAGAAGATGGGCAGGTTGTGTTCATGGACGGCAGTTCCACCATTGCAGATACCATCTTATACTGTACAGGGTATAAATGCTCATATTAAATGCTTGATGTCTTTTATAGAAGGAATTAAAGATCAATAAATGACAAATTCTTGATCAAGTATACACAGTACACCTACAATAAGTATTGCAGAAAAAGTTGTGATGCAACTCGTTTCCCTTCCCTTCCCCACAAATGATCAAATCCCAATGGCCACCCTAAATTACCCTAGTAGGTACTCGAGTGGCAGATGAGAACAATTCTTAAAAAAACTACAAAAAACTAAAACCTAGTGTGATTGATTAGGATAACTATGAAGTCTCCTTGGGAAAATTAACAATTTTATTTAGGTCTTAAGAAGCACAAACTGTGTCAATCTAACCTTTTTGGGAGCAGGGAATAATGAGCTATCCATGTGGGTTTTTCTATGCTTCTAACAGGTACTCCTACTCCTTCCCATTTCTTGACACCAAAGGCATGGTTGTAGTGGACAATGACAGAGTGGGACCCCTATATGAGCACACATTTCCTCCTTCACTATCTCCTTCTCTGTCCTTCATTGGTATCCCAAGAAAGGTATGGTATATCCCCTAATTTCCCTGCAAAGTTTTGCCATAGGCACAAGAATAATCACTTGATATTTATAAGCGATTTGAAAACCACTTCCATATACAATTATACAAATTCAAGGAAAGTCATTGTTTTTTCTGTGACTTTGTTAAATAGCTCATAGGGTTCCCTTTCTTCGAGTCTCAAGCAATATGGATAGCGCAGCTTTTATCTGGAAAAAGGACACTGCCATCACGGGAGGAAATGATGCGGTCCATAAAGGAGTTTTATAAGTCTAGGGATCTTGCTGGCATTCCTAAGCATAATACCCACGACCTTGCGGACTTTGACGTAAATAATTACCTTTCTCATATGGTCATTGGATATTTGTATCTTTTCACTGTCCCTACATAGTTACCTATTCTTTCACTATTACAAATTTACACTGCTACTTTCTTTATCAGTTCTCGATAAAAAGGAATCTAATTCACCATCATTATCAGGGGTCAGTGGTATTAAACTTATGCTGTCGATTAGTTTATTAAGATAAGATGAAACAATACAGACAGTGGCAAAGTTTTATGCCAAATGGACTTCCTACCAAGGCCAAGTCTTCCCTTGCTATTTTGACAGTGGCACCAATGACCTCTAGGTAACACAGGTCACACAACAACACTATAACCGGTGTGCTAAGGCTCCCCTTCTCACCAAGTAACAATGAAATGAAATACTCCCTCCATTCTTTAATAGATGGGAGTATAGCCTTTGGCACAAGTTTTAAGAAGGAATTAATAGGGGTAAGATAAAAGGTGTAGTGGGTTGTGTGTAAAGGAAAAAGTAGGAAAGAGAATGAAAAAGTAGGAAAGAGAATGGGGGTATATAGGTATATTTATTGAAAAAACTTTCTAAAAAGGGAAAGAGAGACATGTATTGGAGAACATCCCAAAATGGAAAGAGGGACATGTATTAGAGAACAGAGGGAGTATTAAAATAAAAACATTATAATAGGTTATTTTCACCAGCATAAAAATACCGTGAGATGGTGATGAGTTGATATAGTGTTGATGTAATGTCTTCAAGGATACAATTCCTATTGTAAAATCAGCATACAAATCATGATAGTACCTGCAGCTCCTAATTATGTCTTTTGCAGTACTGCGATAAATATGCAGATTATGTTGGATTCCCACATCTAGAAGAATGGAGAAAGGAGCTTTGCATATCAGCTCTGATAGACTCAGAAATCAACCCGGAGACGTATAGGGATGTATACGATGACCATGACATGCTTCAAGTAGCTTATCAGAGTCCTCACTTCACTCAGGTTGACTCTCAGGCTTTCACTGGGTGAATACATTGAACAGAATATGCAACACTTCTCCATTCAGTTTATGCAGGACTAATTTATTTAATTGGTTGATAGCTACCACTAGACTTAAGTGTTTTTCTCAGCATGTAACAAAAGACACATCATCAAGATGAAACAATCTATGCTATCTACCTTCTATTTATCAAGACTTAAGTTTGTTTTGCATGAGGCATCTTCCCAAGTGTACAAACCAAAAAGTGAAGACATGGGAAAAAGAAAATCTGATTTTTGGCTGTAAATAAGCAACTAATGTGGAGTTTCCATAATCTGTCAATAAGCTTAAAAAAACTGGTCGCCCTCATCAACTACACAGAAATTAGAATATATATTAGAGTAAAACTAGTTCCAACCACCAACTAATGTTTTTTATTCAATAAATAAGATGATGACACTGCTTATGATGCCACTTTTCAACTTAAACGTTTCTGGTGAAAATGCTTTATGTGTAACTGCTTCCCGCATATGGTTACCAAGCATAAGTGACATGCACTATAGAGTAAGGACCACAGTGGGCAAAAAAATAGAGGCCTCATAAGTCACAACGATCGATTTGTGATGATCATTAACCATAACATTTTTTCCTATTATATATATCAATATCATCTTAATTTTTTTTTTTTTTTTTTATTTTGTTACATCTTAATTATTTCATTTACATTCCTTTTGATTGTTATTGTGTGCACTTGTTCTTTTTCCTCAGAAAGATACTCTAATAGTGCCATTTTTTAGAAATCGAAATTCCCACCACCATTGTATACCTTTTTTGTTTCACCAGTTGCTCAGCGCATTATAAACACCTGGTGTTGTGGGATGATGTGTTGACCCACCAGAAGAATAATGTTCTTGTAGACTCATATAAACAAAAGAGCTAAAGTAGTCATGAATGTCAGGAATTTTTTTTGAGTGGTTGAGTAGTCCCAACTCAAAATTGCATACCATAAATTATATACTTAATCCTTGAACGAGCACATCAGCCATAGGAAAAGTTTTGTCAACAATAATATGAACAGTCCTTGTAAATTGAGATGGAAAAGACTGAGTTCATATCCACCTCGGCACAACCGGTTAATGATCTCTTTCGGAATTCTCAGCAGAGCCAAACTTGTCACTTCGCGACCAATTGTAACAACCTCAAGTCCAGGTATGGTTCCCTATCGGAGTTTCCTAGCAATTTCCAAATTCAAAATCTACTCAACCATGCAAAGTGCCACTTCATAACAGTGAGGGAAAAACTAATGTGCTAGTTCTGTTAACATAGGTAGAAGATCTTTGCTTGAGCTTTGCAGACCCAGACACTGTTACAACAGCTAATTTCTCCCAGATAGACTACAAAGGGACCATAATAATTGGGTGCTACCAATAATCTTTGCAAGAACAAATACCTCCACTAAAATGGTGAAAGAGATATATATCTCTGACGATAATATTCCTTCTATAAACTGCTGAGACAAGCTTAAAGAAGTGATGGCAGTCATGGCAAATCCTTAAATTTTTCATTATCCTTAAGGTATTACTCGATGAATTCAAAAGCCCAAATGCTAATGCGAGTTTCTCACTATGGTGTATCAGATTATGTTCCTTCTCCTCTTCCTCAACATCATATAAAACCATTCCTGTATCTGCCTCATAGCCAAGTAATTTCAACTTTTCTTTCATGTCTGCCAACATATTGCGAACATTCTGATATCCTGGACCAATTGAATCTGAAGCCTGAAATACATACATTGCACTATCAATTTCAATTGAACTCCAACCAGGGACCTTTCTGATTCCTTTGCTATCCATTAATTTCCTTACTTCTCCAACTTCGGCCCACTTCTTATCATGAACATAAGCATTTGACAGCAACACATAATTTTCTGCATTCCATGGTTGTAGCGCAAGAAGCTTTTGGATTGCAAACTCGCCTATTTCTGCATGTCCATGAAATCTGCAAGCAAAGAGCAAAGCCCTCCATATAGCAGGGTCTGGCTGCAGACTCATAAAATGGATCATCTCCACAGCTTCATCCAAAAAGCCACCACGACCAAGTAGATCAACCATACACCCATAATGTTCAATAGTTGGTTCCAACCCAAACTCATTCCTCATTCTTGCAAAAAGTGTCCTACCTTCCTCAACGAATCCTTGGCGACAACAAGCACACAAAGCTCCCAAGAAAGTCAACCCATCAGGCTTGAAATTTTCCATGATCATCCTATTGAAAGATTGCAGTCCAACCTCGCCTCTTCCATTCATGGCATATCCTGATATCATAACATTCCATGTATGCACATTTTTGTCCGGCATGGACAGAAAAACCTTCTCAGCAGCATCAATATCACCACATTTAGCGTACATGTCAATAAGTGCAGTGCCAACATAAACATTCAGCATCAAACCATTGTTTTTTATGTAATCATGAATGAACATCCCTTGATCCAAAGCTCCCAAATGAGCACAAGCAGACAAAACACTGGACATTGTCACCTCACCAGGGCGAACATCACTCCCCAGCAATTCTCGAAACACGTCAATTGCCTCCCTGAATTTCCCCATATGCGCATAACCAGATATTAACGAATTCCATGAAACCGTATTTCTTTCAGGCATTTCATCGAATATCCTGCGAGCTTCCTTGCACTGTCCGAACCCACAGTGCATGTAAACCAGAGAGGTGCTTGCATAAATATCAGAACGAAACCCCATTTTTATTACACTACAATGCACTGATTGGCCGAACCCCGCGTAGCACAACTGAGCTACTGACTTAAGGACGCTTGGGAAAGTCGAGTTATCAGGCCGAATGTCGAGTCTGTGCATTTGGGTGTAAACAAAAACCGAATACAAGTGCTTTCCTGAATCCGTATATCTTCTGATAATGCAGTTGCAAGTCTCCACATCAATGAGATGACCAAACTGGGTAAAGAGAATGGCGGATGGACCAAACCCGCGAGATGGCAGAGAAGCGTCGAGAAGTTTCGTGAAGGATGGGTGGCTAAATAATGGTTGGAAGCCTGAGAGGATTGCAGACGAGCGATCACCGGCAGACGGAAGTCGTTGGAGTAGATTCAGTGATGATTTCATGATAAACACAAATTACTTGGGCCAACAAGTATTACACTTACTCCGTAATAGAATTATCTAGCACCTCAGGAGAAAAATGGTTTAAGGCAGATTTATCTCACAATAAATAATAAAAACAAAATTTTAATAACAAAAGCACAGTTTAAATTCTCAATTTTAAATAATAATCATAAAACATTAAAATTAACAAGAATAATCCCACATATCGCATATTTGCACCTCATCTTCTTTCATTAGATCCTGACATATTGATGACATACAAAGGTGAGATTATTTACACGGAATATAAGATTTTCAATGAAAGGGTTCAATGAAAGAAGATTGAAGTGCAAATGTGAGATTATTTTGGGATTACGTAAAGGTGAGATTATTATGAGAAGACCAGTGAAAGGTGAGATTATTCTTATCAATTTTTCCTAAAGAATAAAAACGTAAAACATAAACAAAAAAATATATAGGCCTCCACCACCACCTCAGCCACCTTCCAGAACAACCGCCTCAGATCGTCAGAAAAAATTGTCAAGCTGAAAAATGTTTTCATGATAGCATTTTCGAAAAGAAAGTTGGATATTTTCAAAGAGTAAAAATGTCATTTTCATGATATTTTCACATGAATATGACATTTTTACCTAAGATGTCATTTTCTTCCGGCGATCAAAGCTGGTTGTGCTGGAGTTGGAGAACATGGTGGTAGTGGCCTGCATATTTTTAATATTTTTTAGGTATTTATTTTATTAGACATTTTATGTTTTTTTTTTTTTAATTTTTATTCTATTTAATTTTATGCTTTCTGGGTTTTATTATTAATTTCTAAATATTTTTATCATTTTTATATTTTTTTATAAATTAAATTATGATTTTATTATTAATAAAAAAATCGATTAGAAATTGCAGGAAGGGTGTAGAATAGGAAGAAGAGACATATATTACTCGCAAGTTGGTAATCAAGAGCTGCAATCTGACATTCGGTGGCCGTTGAATTTCGTTAGCTAGGAGGAGTTAGCAAGCCATGAGCAGGAGTGTCTGGTGCCAGGCGAGCGTTTGGCAATCTGGGTGCGAACAATGAGTCATCCTTTTGGGTGCAAGCGGTGAGGCGGCCGTCTGGGTGTGATAGGTGAATTGTCTGTCTGTGCCATCAGTATATTTATATCGTACAACCAGTTGTACCATGTACACAGTGTAGTTGAGTTTTTATTGTCACTGCGCTTCATGCTCACTACCTCAATGACATGGACGGAGACTCGTGGCTCGTACCCGGCCAGATGGACGCCTCGCCGCTCACACACATAAGGACGATTCGTTGTTCGCACCGAGATGGTCAAACACGCCTTACACCAAACACTCCTACTCGTGGCACTCTGGCTCCTCCTAGCCAATGAAACTCACACGACCACCAAATGTCAGATTTCAACTCGCGATAATCAGTTGGAGCTTGAACACGCAATCTCAGTGCTCAATTGTAAAGAACACAATACTAAATGAAGATACTTGTTGCTCAATGCAAAGTCCCAAGGATCAATAGAAATGTTTGACCACACAATCTCAATAATCGATAGTAGAAAACATGATACTCAATGAAGATGTTTTGATACTCACTAGTTTTTGAAATTTTTATACTCAATTGTAGAGTTCGAATGATCAACAGAGGATGCATGTGGCTCAATGAAAATGTTTTTATGCTCAACTACCAGATATTGCGATTTTATTATATCAATGCATATTTCAAAAGTGTAATATTAAATTAATTAGATTTGCATGTTGTGAAATTCACAAGAGTTGTCTATAGATATAGTTTAAGAAATTTTTATAAAAGAAAAAATAATGAAAATAAAATGAATTAGATTATATGAAACAGGTACCCTAATGCTCAATATTAGACTCTTAGTACTCAACAAAATAGGAATGATGTCGAATACAAGCACATTGATGCTCAATTAACATAAATCACAATTTTCAACTAAAAATTATGAGGGTCTTCTTAAAAGGATAAACATAATAAAACTTAGAATTTTGAGTGTTTGAACAATTCCATTTTCATATTTAGGAGGAGGTGGAGGAGGCTAAAAATAACAAATTAGACTACATTGTATTATATTCCCTAAGTAGGACATGGAAAAATATACCCTTGTAGCTTTTTGGACTGAAATAACTATTTAATAAAATTAAAAAAATAAAAATTATAAAAATAAAATTTATAAATCAAAAAATAAAAAATTATAAATTAAAAAAATTAAAAAAAAATGTTAAAAGATACACCGGCGCCTCTGCCACCACCAACTTCAATCATTTGGGATATATGCCAACATGCATTATCAAAGAGTAATAATACTATTTCCTTGACATTTTCAGAAAAAAATGATATTTTTACATAAAATGACATTTTATTCACCGATCGAGGGGTGCTAGGAAGCGATAGAGGCGGCGGGAAGGGCATCCATTTTTTATATATTTATACTATGTTTTATTGTTTTTTATTATTTTTTTCAAAAAGAAAAAAGAAATTTTGAAATTTTTATTTTAAAATAGTTTAGTCATTATAATTATATTTTGAAGATTTTTATTATTTTTTATGATTTCATTATGAGTTAAAATATTTTATTATGAATTACCCTTAGACCATTTTTGGCCGTGTAGTATTAGGAGTCCAAAATTTTAAAGATTAAATTTTTGGACTTCTAATATAATGTAGTGGTAGACTAAATGGGTATTAAAAATGAGATATAGGATGTAGGGTATAAATGGAAAGTGGACTGACAGAGGAAAAACAAAGCAGGAGGAAGCCGAAGGCTTGTGAAAGGAAGTAGTGATGACGTCAACCATGCATCATTATAATCCCAAACGTTTTTTAAACTTTTAAAACTTTTTTATTTGTTCTCCAAATTTTTTAAAATATATATCCAAATTCTTGAATTTTCATGATCTTTCATATGCCACTATTATGTAATGTATAAACTAGGGGGAAAAAATCAAAAGTTTTAAATGTTGGAGTATTTTTGAGCTCGAAAAAACACGAAACACAAACTTTTAATTCATGGAGCCTTCACAAATAACTGAATATTCCAAAATTAAACTTTACTTGAACTAAGTTCATTTTTGTTAACCAAACAACGTTAAAAAATTAATGATATTTATTTCTTTTTACATTGAAATGTGTATTTTTTTTATTTCATAATTATTCAGGGAAAAATTAAAAGGAAAACATTACTTATAATAATTTAATTAATGTTTTACTAATTTGATATAAAAAAAAATGTGATGACCGTATTTTCTTGACAATACTAGGATACAGGGAAATATGAATCTAAAAATTGTTTTCATATGGACAGGGTCCATTTTTGACCTGTCCACCACTACAAATGGTCTTAGAGATATTTAAAGTAGAAAATTAATGTTTAATCATATTTGTAAATGATTTAGGCTTTAGTCCTATTTGTGCAATTAAGTTTTCATTTAGTCCTACTTACTATTTAGGGTAATTACTATTTATTTATCGGAAATTGTCCTAAATAGGACTAAAAAGTTCCTAAAAAGCACAAATAGGACTACTATTTTTAAAATTCCCTAAATAGGACTAAACATTGATTTTCTACCCTAAATACCCCTAAGAGTATTAATTCGTAATGAAATGCTTTAATTCATAATAAAATCACAAAAAACGTAAAAAAAATATTTAAAAAACGTAAAAAAAATTAAAAAAAATTTATAAAACATTTATAAAATAAAAAATTTAATTTTTTATTTTTTTAATTTTTTTTAAAAAATAATAAAAAATAGTAAAAACCCATAAAAAATGAAAAAAATTATGGATACCTTTCTCACCGCCTCCCGCCGCCTCCCAGCACCACCACCTCCGATTGGTGAAATTTCTTCCACTTTTGATAAAAAATGCCATATTTTTCTGAAAATGCCAAAAAGATGGCATAATTACTCTTCAATATGCCAACATTTTCATTGATTATGCCATCATTATGGCATTATTTAAAATGTTGGCATATTTTTGTCCGGTGATGGGAGATGGTGGTGTTGGGGGTGACAGGGGTGGTAATGTGTTTTTTTAATTTTATGATTTTTTTTATTTATTTTTTTATTTTTTTTTTTAAAAAATATTTTTTATTTTTTTTAAAAAAATATTTTTATTAATTTTCTATTATTTTTTTTACGATTTTTAGTATTTTTTTCGATTTTTATTAATTTTTTTATGATTTTATTATTAATTAAAACATTTCACAAGTTACAAGGGTATATTTGTCCAAACACACATAAATAGTCCTATTAAGGGAATTTAAAAAATGTAGTCCTATTTGTGCAATTTTTCCACTTTTTAGTCCTATTTAGAGAATTCTTATTTATTACGAAAATGGAAATATAATCAAAGGCCAAAATTTCAAGATGATAAAACAAGAAATATATTACTGCACAACCCCTGCACAATGTATGCACACAGCAAGGCAGACCTAGTTTTACAATAATATTTGGGAGCAAAGAAGCTTCACTGTTCTATCCTGTCTACAAACCCATCTGAGAACCAGTGGTAAACCCTTCACCTAGTTAGTTACATAGCCATTTGAGGCAGGCAATCAGCTATATAAGCAATCAGCTATATTTGCTATACTATTTTAACCAACCAACTAAGGTGAAAGGGGGACAATCCTTCTTATGGCATATCGAGGTGTTCGCTTCTTTTTCCTTCCCCATACTTCTTTAAAACACCACATGTGCTTCTTACAACCAGGCTGCTGCTGCTGCTTCAAACCTTTTGAACTTTTCATCCCTTGCCCATGGTTGCTGCTCTTAGCTCTTCTCCTCCCTCCATCATTGGCCCGCCCCTCCGGTTTCACCCACATTGATCTCTTCGCTAAAGTGGATGCAATTCCAGCAAACCAATCAAGGCAGCCAATAGGTCGTTCCACCCGAGATGACATAATCAAAACCAGTGTATCAGCAGCGAGCCTGTCATCGTTTGATAAGCCAGTCGATGTGTCCAATCGGGCCTCGGGTGAATCATTTCTAGGTGGACAAGACTCCTGGTTCTCTGGGCTAAGTGGAGCTTTAAAATGTTCTTTCTCTTTATCTTCAGGTGCTTGAACAGATGGGGAAACATCAATGCGGGCTACAGTTTCATTCTTGTCAGACATTTCCAAATCAGAAATTGACCTTTCTTTTTGTGGCTTTCTGGGTGTCAAACAACAGGAAGCTTTGGCATAAGTTTTCAGGTGGCGTCCATGTTTCACTGAAAATGCAAGATAATAAATAAAGATCCGGTTATAAATATAATGTGAATAGTCATTAGTAAAACATATGAAGTAATTACTATGCAACTAGTCTATGCCGTTAACATTATTGTTCAATGTTACGGTTTATGGGGCGCTCTTAACAACAAAAAATGCTGAGAATACCCCTCATAAAGCTTATTAACATTTAAAGGAAGCCAGGAAGGGACCAAGTGTATCTAAAGTATAGCTCTTGAAAGACTAAATTTACAAAGATATAAACAGTTCACAGTTTACATATATCAGACAATTGGGGAAACAGAAGCGCTTGTTTCCCAAACCATATAATTTGTGATAATTTTGAAAAGCAGCGGAGGCTCATCCAGAGATGATATGTAAAAGCCAAAATGCAGGTGCATGGGATATATCATTTAAAAAAATCAAATAGCACACTACCAGCACGAGACTTGCACGGTAGCAGCCCATTTTCCGCATTTTTCTCAGAAGACGAACTAATGATGCAAGAATCAGTATGGCTTTCTCCAACAGTAATATCGGGCGATGTTTTTTTACTTGAGCCGATACAGTCTGCATTTGATTTTTCCTTTTCAGAAGGATCTTCATTCCTATTCATGAGATCATGTTGACTAGAGGAAGCTGGGAATTCTGGTTCATCATCTAGCTCAGCAGGAGGCTCATTCAAGTCGAACAAGACGTCCATCTTTCTGCAACTTGAAAAAGAAGAGCCTTTTCCATGGTAAGAGGAGGACTCAAGCTTCTCTTCATCTACATGCTGCTGCACCTCTGTAATTGCATGCTTGACATTAGATGGCCGCTGCTCATCCCCAGAAGCTGTAGTAAACCTTGGAGGTTCTCCAAAAGCTAGCATTGAGGGACCAGCCCCCGAAAGATTCCTTGAAAGCCAGTGCATGCCCATAGAGGTTTCTGGCACTGGTTCTGATTCAAGAGATAGTTTTAAACTATTCCCAAAGTGTTCTCTCTTTCTGGCTTCCTCCATCAACTCCTTTTGCCTTTTGTAAACCCGGTGAAGTTCATAGACCTGAGAAGAAGAAATTTCGAAGGAAAGAAAAAGTTGAGGGAGATAAAATATTGATTCAAACTCAATAAATTTATATCGATTCATGTTATGCATATATACTACTCGTATTTAAATACTATGCAGTTTGAGCACATGCTAAAAACTAAAAATATGAACCACGTTATATTGTCCTGTGCATTTTCCGGAGATAATCCAAAAAATAAGATAAGAACTTCCTGTAGCATTTTCCAGGATCAAAACATATAGCCTTGAAGGAGAGAAAAATAATTTGCCGACGGACCAAAAAGAAAAGTAGAGTGATTAAAAGGGACAGAAGTAATAGAGCTTTGTAAGATGAAAAGCAGAAGAAAATCTCTACATGCAAGGGAGCTATGCCCCTAGTGAGCAAGCTGTTAATGCTACTATATATAAAATAATATTGTATTTTTTTAAAAATATTGTATAATATTGTACAAGATATTGTATAAAATAAAATAATATTGTATAATATTGTATAATATTGTATAAATAAAATAATATTGTATAAAATACCAGATAAGTTTATAATTGATTTCCTCCAAAGATACAAATGTGGAATCTACAAGAAGGATGGACTTGCCTGATGTTTGAATATGGACTCCTGCTGTAACATCGTCTGTCTACAAATTTCCTTTGCAGTAGGAACCCGATCATGGTTCAAGGGAGCCGGATGCAATGAAGCACTGAAATGGGGTCCACTATTCCGTAAGATATCATTGTTTGCTGCTGCTGCCCATGAATACCCACGGATGCCTCCATTAAGATCAGTTGGACAGTAACTTCCTGGTGGTGCGTCGTTGGCAAACGGCATTTTTCCTCTTGCTTCCTAAATCCCCGCACCCCCAAGAAAAAGCACAGAAACTTTGAGTTACTCTTTTTTGAACAAACCACTAAACATATTACAATGGACATATGCACATAAGCGGAAAGAAGGATTAAGTGCGAGGCGTATATGGTACTCGTATTTATTTACTTACACTTCCTGAAAACTACCTGCGAGAGGATTAGATTCTCTAGTCTAAATTCGTTTATTCCAATTGCCACATTGTATAATAATAATAATTGTCCTTCACAGTTCACTATGGTCTATTAACTAATTTCACGGGGGAGTTGCAAACTTACCATATTAGTCTAGCATCTAAACCATTGAAGATTTGTTCTTATTAATGAATGTGTAAAGAACAATAGAGGTCTTTTTCGTCAGCTTTATTATGATAAGAAGTTTAGTAAAAAGGTACGTAGTATGAAAGAACACTCATGTAAAAGGAAACATGAATTTGAGGCCATATGTCAATGCAGACTTAACCTCGAGTGGCATTTCTGACTAGCTCACTCCAAAACACACAGTAGAGAATTTAAGCTTCAAAGCAAGGACCACACTTGGAGGGCCAAATTCAAGCTGTTATCTACACAAACAAACAAAAACAGGAAATTGAGCTAAAATTACAGATTCTGGACTGATAAATACACCAAAATTACTAGAACTTAAGAAAGAGATCGTCTTTTCCAGAAAATTGAAGAAGTGAGGTAAAATAAATAAATAAAAAACAAAAACAATGATGTTCAATAAAGTAAAGAACCGCATATTCTGGAGGGAAAAGAAGGAGAAAATGGTCGGAAAAGGCTCACTTTAAAGTGTAACAAACACTCAAGAAAAATGAAATGGCTCTCACGGACCTGAGAGAAAAGGGGAAGGAGAGCAAAAGGCAAAAACAAAAAGAGAACGAAAATCCCCCCTACAAACAAAGCTAGAGGGAAGAGAATCTGTCTCTGCTCAAGAATGCACATATCAAGCTGATCTTTACACATGAACACATAGTGGCTCAAACACTCAAAAAACTAAGTATATCCCAGGAAAGAAGAAAATGGAGGAATTTGAGAAATTGGTCCTGACCCAGACTTGAGCCCCCAGCAGGAACTGGAAAATCCCACTGCAGATCGGGAAGAAGCTCAGCTGCTGAAATATCCACACTCAGAGAGGGAGTGTGGGTATGGGATTGTCGCTGCGGTGGTGCAGGAAAATGGCATAGATTTTCAGCAGATTACGAGTCCGTATTATTTAAGGAGAAGGGCGTTCTTGGGATCTGAAGGGGCCCACTTTCACTCACTAAAGCATACGTTTTTTTCTCTCACTAGACCAGACGTTTTTCTTTTCGGTCACTGGCTCGCAAATTACAGAGAGAGTGAGGAAGGGAGGGATAGGATTGGTGTATATCTTCGGTTGGAAGTTTCTTCGCTGTCTGTCTGTCACACGGTGCGTAAGAAACTATGGATTTTGTTGCGGGGATTGACCCGTTTAGTCTTCTGCCCCTGTCGTTATCTTCTTATTACTACTTGATCCTCTCCTGAGCATGTCAAAAACTCACATACTCGCTACTATTTTATACAAATGTTAGTCACTTTTCTTATCACTTTTCTTTAGTCCCTGCAAATATAACTCACTTTGTTTTAGGTCTCTGCAAAATATTTTCTTTGTTTTTTCATCCCTAAAATTTATGTTAATTTTCTTTTTAGTCCATGACCAATGATAACAACTTCCGTTTGACAAAGAAACAATCCCGACTAATATGTATCCTTTAATTCTTTGTCATGTCATTTAAAAAGTACTACATATTTAATTTCATTTTCTAAAAGGTTTTTAATACATATTTTGAAAATGCAAACAATTAGTTTTAATATTGTTTTAACTCTCATATTAGCCTCAAAAAAATTATAAAATGATAAATTTAAACGTATCTAATAGATTTATGCAATCCACAATCAAAAAATCTAAGTAGAGTTGTTTCGGAGTTAGAGATGAACTAAAATCAAAATAGCGCATATTACAGGGATGAAAATCAAAGAAAATATTTTGTAGGGACCTAAAACAAAGTGTGTCATATTTGCAGGGACTAAAACCATATTTAAACTAGTCCTAAATACTTCTAGTATTCCCAAAATAGAAGTAATATATGTCTCTTCTTTTTATGTTATCCTCAGTCTACAATTTCTAATAGATTTATTTGGTAATAACAAAAATCATAGATTTATTTAATAATAAAAACATATAAAAACGTAATTTTTTTTATAAATTAATAAAAAAATAGGGGGGAAATTAAATTAAATAAAAAAATAAAAGATCTAAAAATAGAAAAAAACAAAGAAAAAATATTTTGAAAAAAACTAAAAAAATTAAATAAAATACTTTAAAAAATATTAAAAATATGTAGGTCACCACCTCCGCTGGACAAATGTCGCCACTTTCTTTTACTAATTACTCAAAGACTAAGGGTTATATGGAATTGATTCCACTTATGCTTCTTTTTTAAAAGTAGTGGTAAAATTTGAATCAGTTTTCAAACATTGGTTTCTAGAACTTCTAAAACTGTTTCAAAGAGCATTTTGGAGCACCTAGAAGTATTTAGGCACTTTCACCTAACAATCCGATATTTGTTTCTACTCCTTGAAACAACAGAAACTGTTTTGAGAAGTAGATCCAAACACACCTAAGAGTAAATAAATTTTAAATTCCTAAAATAACTCTTCCTAACTCATCTTTAACATGCTTTAATAGGAATTTTTATATAAAATAATAAAACATAAAAAATTAAAAGGTAAAAAGACAAAACACAACTTCAATCGCCATCACCTTCAATCGCCAAAAAAACAACTTATAAACATAATGTCATCTTGATCAAAGTTTGAAAGCAAAACTTGACATTTTCAAAGAATACTAATCTCATTTTCAAAGAAGTGTGAAATTTTTATGCAAGATAGCATTTTTCTTACAGTGAAAGGTGGCGGTGCTGGGAGACGGTGGAGGCCTCCATAATATTTTATATTTATGATTTTTTATTAAATTTTAATTTTTTAGATTATTTATTCTTTATTTTTATTTAGTACGTTTTTTATACGAAAAATGTATTTTAATATTTTATGTTTAATTATAAATAAAATATATATACAATTTTCTTATTGTTTAGGGTAGAATAAGATAAGAGGGTATAACTTACTCCCTTTTTGAGAATATAACCCCTTCCTTCCATAGTTCCATTGCATATAACCCATTTTTGCATCTTGAGAGTAATTTACTCCTATTTGGGACAAGTTTGACTTTGTTCATCTCAAAAAGGGTGAACATAACCCCTTCCTTCCATAGTTTCATTGCATATAGTAACTTAAATCTATTTTCAGACAGACTTTTTTTCACCCTCTTTTGAGACGTGAACAAAATTATTCTCATTTGAAAATATTATCCAATTTGCTATTCGTGTCATTAACGGCCGGATACTTTTATTCTTAAATTTATTTATCAGTGTTTGTGAAATTAAATTTTTACTTTTTATTCAATTACCAATTGAAATTTAATTACCAATTTACTATATACGTTCACCAAAATCGTACATATTATTATTTCGTTCTAAATTATTTGCTAACTTACATTTTCAAAACATTTGGTATCGTGTCTTGTTTTGTTATTTGGAAATGGGCTCATGATACATTTCTACCCCTTAATATATGACCTAACTTAACTCGTATAAAATTAATTCGAGGTAACCCTAAATTAAGACTACTACCTAATAACCCTCACCTACAATTGTCTTTTTTATTATGCGATTTTCTGTTTATCCGATCCAGTCGACTAATTATCTTCCGCCCTTACCTACTAGCACACTCCAATCAATATGGTTCTCCTTTGACTCCTACTTTTGTATCCCCTTCCACACTTTTGCCTAAACGCTAGAAAATAATTATCACATTCCATTATACTACATATATATCCTTTGCATTTGCTGTAGCAAGTTAAAAAATAATTAGATAAAATCTTTTCCTACCATTATGTAAGATACAAACATAGCCAAATGAGAGAGATAAATTGTTTACCTACCGACCCAAATGAAAAATATATATGGAGATTAAAAGGAGAGAAGGAATAGCATTTTGTAAGATGAAAAAAAGCTATATTTGGTTATTTTGTGAGTAAGTAGAATAAGAATAATAGAGTATGCCATGCACATAAGTTTTGAATTTCCAAAATAGTTCGTCATATCCTCTCCTCAACATGTTTTAATAGGAGTTTTTATTTACAACAATAAAACATAAAAAAATAAAATACATAAAAATATAAAAAATAAAAAACATAAAAAATATGGTGAACTCTATAGTCGCCTCGGCCACTTTCCAGGGCCATCAGATCCAATCGGCGAAAATATGCTAACCTGCAAAAACACGTGTCATCATATTTTGAAAGCAAAACTTAACATTTTCAATGAATAATGATCTCGTTTTCATGATATTTTTGGAGAAATGTGACATTTTTACGAGAGATGTCATTTTCTGTTGTAGTGAGAGGTGATGGTGCTGTGAGACAGCGGAGGCCCCCGTAATCTTTTAAATTTAATGATTTTATTTATTATTTTTTAATATCATTGATTATTTATTCATTGTTTTTTTTAATTTATTTTTTATTTTTAGGGAAAACTGTCAAATAGGTCCTCGAACTTTCATAAAAAAGTCAATTAAGTCCTTCTATAGGAGGTTCTGTCCGGCCGTCGCGATTTGGGGCGGTTCCCGGTGGAATTTTTTTATGCAATTTTTTTAGCATCTTATTCACCAAGTCTAGTTTACTCATACCAAATTTCAGCTAAACATTCAATCGGAAACACATTCAAATTGATTCTTGAAGATTACTGCGCATTTTTGCATTCTCGAATTAATTTGAATGCGCTCCCGATTAAATTTTTAGCTTAAATTTGGTATGAGTAAACTAGACTTGATGAATAAGATGCTCCAAAAAATTCCACCGGGAACCACCCCAAATTGCGACGACTGGACAGAGTCTCCTATAGAAGGATTTAATTGACTTTTTATGAAAGTTCGAGGACCTATTTGACAGTTTTCCCTTATTTTTATTATTTTTATTATTTTTATTTCTTTTCCTTTTAATTTCATTTTTGTATGTTTCTGTTATATGTAAAATACGTTTTAATAATTTATGTTTTCATTATAAAAATAGACGACGTATATAATTTTCTTGCTGGTTTTGGGTAGAATAAGAAGAGAGTGCATAAATTACTCTCATTTTAAGAATATAAAAGCTATAGACCTGCTTTTACATTTTGAGATTTATTTACTCCTATTTGGGACTATTATCTAATTTACTACTTGTGTAATTAATGGTAGTTTTCATTCTTAATTTTAATTATCAATTATTGTGAAATTAAAATTTTACTTTTGTTCAAGTATATGTGTTCACAAAATTCTAAAAGTGTGCATATTACTTTCTTGTTCTAGATTTCTTGTCTATTTACATTCTCAGAACATCTCGTATCACATAATTTAACATGTATAAAATTAATTAATCTAAGGTCACTTTTAACTAATGCTCACTCACCTAATAACTCTCACATACCACTGTCTTTTTATTATTCGTTTATTGATCTTCTGTCCCTTACCTACTCGCCAACTCCAGTTAATATGACTCTCCTTTGACTCCTACCTTTTGTAAAGAACACTCGTTGATGCACGGGTGATGAATTTTTACAAGTGTAATTAATTATAATCAAATTTGGAATAAAAAACAAACTTTTAATTTTATTTGAATATTTTGGGGAAAAAATGAATCACTTAGAATATACCTTGTACAATAATAAAATGAATCACTCACATAATTAATATGATTACAGAGTTGTACACAATTTTTATAATCCCACAAAATAGTGATCAATGCTTGGAAATTAACATCTTCTGTTCCGCACTAACCATGTAAAAAATAAAATCCTTCCTTTAAGTAAATGCTTGCAGGCAATTTACCCGCGCAACACACACATGATTTTGGCAAGGAATTTTTCCTTTTCCAAAGGTTTGTTTATATTAATTGAAGGTCAATTGTGTATAATGACTTACATTTATATGAAACATATTTTTTTAAAAGAATTGTCTGGGTAAGCAACCAAAATATAGGGGTGCAAATATGTGAAAGTGCATTATTGCGTTCTTAAAATATACTTGAATAAAAATTTAGGGGAACGTACGTCTTCAAATATATCATTCTACTATTTCAAACATATTAGTTGAGTCCATATATGAAAAGAAGTAATGGTATCCTTGAGGCACATTAGGTATCGTTTGTATTGGTTTCTAAGTAGAATATGAGCTCATGACACATTTCTACTTCTTAAGATATAACCTAACTTAACTTGTATAAAATTCTCCTAAGGTTACCTTGTATTAATGGTCACCCACCTAATAACCCCCACCTACCAAATAATCTATATTTGATTATGTTGTAAGTAGAATAAG